AAGAACATGTGACTAAGCTCCAACGGTCCGCTATTATATTGCTTAGACCTACAGAGGCGATTGTTGGATTTTGTGTTGTTGTAGTTGAAGAAGCTACAATGAAGAGAGTAGAGATGCATTAACATCTAAATTTCGCTATCAATCACTACTCACTTGATGTAGTTACTGATGTTCTCGAAGTCGCTAAAACAAATAGATAATTTCATTTCATTCTATCGATGTCAAGAAAAATATTAATAAAGTATCACTTTCTCGTCATACATTCTATGATTTTCTGTTGCAAATTTGCATAACCATAGTGGTACACTATGTTTTTTATAACAATTTATTGACAAGAGATAGCTTTTTAACCTGATTATTTTAGTTTTCTATAAGTATGTTCACTAGAATGTACTTTATTTCTATTTGAGTTGATTATAGAAATTATCAGTAATAAAATTAGCGCCAGCTAAGAACAGCAAATTCATGTACGAAGTTGAACTGGAGAAAACTAATTCTACCTATATATTAAGGCAAAAGTTTGATGTGGAACTAATTCTTTATTTTCTAATTAACACAAAACACTAGAGAAATAAGTCAAATTTAATTTTAAATCAAAACTGAATAAATCAGCTGTTATTCTATTGGGAAAAGACTGAGCTATTTGAGATTAATGATATGTTTCTTCTATAATTGAGAATATCCATTTAGAATAAATGTAACTCACTAAAGTTTATGTTCAGAATTTAACCTTACTACTGAAGTGATAAGTTGAATCTCTGAAAAAGGTTGTCGAAATTGACAACTTAATTCTATAATAAACTCATTATTATCTCTTCTATATTTAAAAGAGATCGAATTCGTCCATGTGTTATAATTTTTTCTTCTAAAAGACATACTCGAGGTCTTTGATATTGATGTACTGGTGCTTGTTGTACTTTCTAAAAGTTACATATAATAATATTTCAATACCTAAATAAAAATCTTACTTGTAGTTGTAGTGGTTTGAGAAATAGTCGATGTGCCTAGAATTTATCATAAACTAAGATGTTTATCATCAGGTAAGCAAGTTTTTCTTACTTGTACTTGTCGTACGACTACTCGCACTAGTCGTACTAGTACTTGTAGTACTCGGACTTATAGTACTGGTACTTGTAGTACTTGGACTTGCCGTACTGGTACTTGTAGTACTCG